CCCCACCCCCACCCCAGGCTTCACCACCCCACTGTCTGTGTCCCTGGGTTATGCACATACGCATACAAGTTCCCTGGTTTGTAAGCATGCCCTCTGGGTCACAGTCCTGGCCATTTGGAGAAACTAGAAGCCAAAGTGGAACAGGGCAAGTTAATTACAAAGAATTGGAGCTGCGCACAAAATCCAGCCCATGTCACTCGGGAATTGTCAAAGCGTCTCTATCGCTGCCTTACGCACAACAGTCCAGCTTGGGCTGGTTCATGTTTTACAACCTCAAGACAGTGTTTGCTCGAAGTCTGCTCAGTATCTGCAGAGCCGCAATCGAATGTCCTGCTGCCACTCTCGGTCAGGATTCTAAGAATTTAAAAGGGACCGGTTGAGCCGGCAGCTGAGGGGTCCCCCACCCCCCACCTTTTCCCTTTTTGTACTTTAGACTGTTTACATACACTTATGGGGCAGTCATTAGCCATTCTGAACAACAGAATAAATGTTCCATCATTTTACTTTGAAAAGACTCTCCCACAGGAATGTACTGTCTTATAGGCTCTGCTCTGGGCTGCTTTGCATTCAAATGCTTTGCTTCCAGGAGCAATTCTAGAAGCACATACAGTTGGTTCAAGGGAAAACCAAGCACCACATAGCTCAGAGGTTGTCGACCTAGGAACCAGGAGGTCATGGTTCAACTCCCAGTCAGGGCACATGGCCGGGTTGTGGGCTCGATCCCCAGTAGGGGGCGTGCAGGAGGCAGCCGATCAATGATTCTCTCTCATCATTGATGTTTCTCTCTCTCTCTCCCTCTCCCTTCCTCTCTGAAATCAATAAAAATAGATTTAGAAAAGGAAAGGAAGGAAGGAAAGAAGGAAGAAAGATGGCAAAAGAAATTCGGATATTCATTCCCTGCCTGGACATGTATAAAAAACTTAAAATTCATTTGATTTCAAGTTCACTGTCCAAAGAAGCCGTGCGCCAAAACCCTCAAAAGCCGAAGCAATAAATCTGCAATCGAATGACAACTTTCAATGACTCAGAAGAAAGGCGTTGCCTTTGTCTAAAAAAATAACCCATACTGGCTGCACTTAAAAGCAACCGAAATGCACACTCATAGATAATTATAAACAAAAACTAGTTAACACTTTAAATAAAAAGATTTAGGGCTCCGACGAGCAGATGAAAGGGTTTCTTGAGTTGCCTTCCATCTGATATTAGTCAAAATCAACTCTGTCTCCAATTACCTGGGAATATGTGGTCCTCCCTCATGCAAGGGCGCCCGTCCGTTGGGGCCTCTGCTTACTCACAGTCCTTTGAACCAAGTTCAGCAGAAATATTTAACATTGCAAAAGAGGCCGGAGCCAGACAAGCGACTGCAGACGCTAATCGCTGCATCAAAATAGTAACTTAGTAGGACAGCAACCAACAGAAAATATTTGTGGGGGCAGAGGTTTGGGGGCGGGGACGTATTACCGCTGTCAGAGAAGACGCACTACATGCCAAAGTGCATAAACAGAATCACGAAAACACTATTTTTAACCAGTTGCCTATTCGGGGGCATTGGGTTGTCCATGCCAAAGGTCTCCTGTAGAATTAGGCCTGAAAGGTAATCGTATGCCCTAGCCTTAAAATAAATAAACAGATGGAAACAAAAAGTAATCAAATAAATAAAGGTTGATTCCTGGAAGGGTCAATGATGAGAGGGAATCATGGATCGGCTGATAAACAAAAGAGAGCCAGAGGCACAGAAGCAGGGAACAGACTTTTGAATCTCAGAGGGAGGGCGTGGGTGGGTGGGTGGGAAGAGATTAACTGAAGAACTTTAAATCGGGGGGGGGGGGGGGGGGGGGGGGGGGGGGAAGAGATTAACTGAAGAACTTAATATGCAAAACCCATGGGCGCAGACAATAGACTGGTGTAGGCCTGGGGCAGGGGTGCGTGCAGGCTAGAAGGGGTCAATGAGGGGGAAAAGGGACATCTGCAATACTTCCAACAATAAAGATACATTTTTTAAAAAGAGGCATCAAGAATAAGGCCGATATTGCTTTTGATCCTGAAGTTCAACATTAAGGAATGTATGTCTTGTACAAGCGTGTACTATGAGAAATGTACACATTTATTCTCTCAATCTTTTTGTCTTCAAAGCAATGTTGTAGGAAAGAAGATTTATGAGCAAAGAAATAAGTTCATTTTCCTGCTTTTTTCCAATGGAATACTACGAAACCATTAAGAAGAACGTACTGATACGAAATGATCTTGAAGCTATTTTAACTGAAAAAAAGAATAATATCCAAGAGAGGCCTCTATTTGCAACCATACTAGGAACTCGACATCAAAAAGTTTTACAACAAAGCGCATAAAGGTATTGGATTAAAATAAAATTTAATGCATGGCTGAGCTGGCTGGAAAATAAAGGAAATCCTCTGACCCAGTCAAAACAATCAGGAGCAAGACTTCAAAAGGTGTTAGCACTGCCTTGGGGGCACCCTTCCACCCAGCAACCCAAGACTGTCCTTGGACAGGCCACGCAGGAAGAGGGGAACAGGCCTAGAGTCCTCCACAGCGCCTGGAAGAGACACGCCCTCGGGGTAGAGAAAACAGAAAGCCACCCCCACGCCCCCACGAGAGGAGGCACTGAGGAATGTGTCCTTCTCCGCCGTGGCCCTGGGTGGGCCATCACACTGCCCTGAGCCTCCATCCACAATGAGGGGGACCCTGACTCATTTTAAAACAGTTCTCGGTTGGCAGTGTCCTCTGATGTTGAGCCCAAACAAATAATAGAAATAGAAATAGAAGGAAAAAATAAAAAAACAGAAACAGCCTGCAAATAAATTTAGTTTAGAAACGAAAATGGAAGCGGAGCAGAGCTGCCCAGGCAGTGAAGGGAGGTAAGAAAGAGTCCACGGCATCCCGGATGCGGGAAGGAATGGACTTGCAACCCAGAATTTTATCATCAGCAAACCTATCTCCCCAAACAGGACTGATGGAGATTTCCACACAGACAAGGAAAAAAAAAAAAGAGGGTTTTTCCACAGATTCACACCAGGGAACTTCTGAAGAGTGAACTTCAGAAAGAAGAAAAACCATCTCAGAAGGAAGGCATAACATACTGGTAAAGGAATGGTGAGCAAAGAAGATGGTACTGGTTATAAAAAACAAGTGGACACTAAAACATTGGCAAAGAATGGCGTATGGCATCAATAAGTAAGGTTAGAGTTAAACATGTACATATATTGTTAATTCATACACCTTTGGTATATTGTTAATTCTTTAACAACACATGGTACTAAACAACTAAAACAATATTATCCGTTTGAAAAAAGTTGTTTTTGCAGACTGTACATAGACATCAAATATGTACATACATAAAAATCAGATAGATTGAAGAATTAAGTGCAAAAGCAAAACCGAGACATTTTTACAGGAAAATATAGGGCACTGTCTTCAGAAACACACAGCAGGAAAAGATTTACTCAATAAGGCAAACATTAATACCATTAAGAAAAAGTCTGATAAAATTTGCTGTTTGGAAATACAGAACTTCTGCTTATCAATTGCCACTGTAAGAAAGATCAAAAGACAAGGTCCAAAGAGAGAGAGAGAAGTGTTTGTAACAATTTAAAGAACTCCTAATTATTCAGTAAGTAAAAGGCAAAGCAACAGAAAACAGTCAAAAGACTCAACAGGTGGTCCAAAGAACAGGAAACGACTTTAGACATATGAAAATCCACCAGTTCTA